GTCCAATCATCCCCCCAATATTTTTACTATGTATGGGATAAAATGGAGCTTTACACACTTCAAAAGACTGTCAAAGAAATAATTTGCACTGTCTTATGCGCTTACAAAGATGAAAATCAGCATAATGTATTAATTATTTTATCTGGTACAATCTATCTCTTCTTTCCTTAGATGTTAGATGTGCTTGCAAAGAGAGCCACATTTCACACTGAAGGGTGTGTACGACATCAGTAATGTTATGTCAATTCCAAGAATGTTTAAGGTTACTGTACTCGTGCGAATAAGCGCCCCGTTTGAATAAGCACCCCTCTCGAAAAATGGCCCTTCCTAACGTGAAAATTTCCTTAAGCGCCCCGTTTGAATAAGCGCCCCTTCTAATTTGAATAAGAGTAATATCATAAGATTTTCTTTTTAGCAAGTCAATAATCCAATCAATCCTGGACTGTGGTTGTTGGCATGATTTGAGCTGCAGAGTGGAAACACATTCTTTTTTAGGTCAATATCAAAATGAGGATATTTCTCTTGGACAGATGAGAGCTCCGATCCCTGGACAGACAGTATATTTCCAACTTTACACTTTTTACATACTTGTCTATACCTAGTCCTACTCCTCTTTTTCTTTTTCCGACCTTTAACACATTCTCATCTGAGTTTTCAAGAGCAAATACAATGATCCTGCCATCCTGCTAATCTCAATCGGCCGATGGCCAACAAGCTTACCACTATCCACCACCACTAATTGCATCTGCTATTTTGCTGTTATGTAAATATTCACGCATTCTTGCCATGAGCCATGTTCTCTTGAGGATTGTCTTTTCCGCCTAACCACCATTCGCTCTGTCTTTTTCATTCAAAAAGTGTCTCTTGAATTTAATAATTTCCCATAAGAACCCCTCGATTTTCATCTATTTCCATAAGCGCCCCTCAATTTCCACTCTGTTTTCATAAGCGCCCCGTTTAAATAAGCGCTCCGTTTGAATAAGCGCCCCTCAGAAAGTGCAAAAAAATATTTTAAGCGCCCGGGCGCTTATTCGCGCGAGTACGGTATATCGTTTGATGAGGAATTTATTGATTAGGCCTATAATAGCAAATTGCATCAATTTATTTTGCAAAAACAAGGTTTCCAGCTTCAGAGGGGGGGGGGGCACATCCCCTGTCCGCACAAGGGCACACTTTGGCGCTAACACCAGGCGCGTAACAGGGGTCTTGGGTTACAGTTAGTAATTTACCATACCCACTCCACCCCACTCCCCATATAGAAAACAATACGACAAGGGCTTATCTTATTTATAATATAGGCCATACACGTGTGTTTGAAATATAAGCATTTTCATCATGGTTTTATTTATTACAAACATATTCTTTCACCATCAATACACATTGAGACCCTTCTTTAAGGTTAAAACGATCTATCTTAAATTTGTCTTTCTTGAGTTTGGGACTATTAGTGTTTAAATAACTTAAAAGGATAAACCTTTAAAAGCCCTAAAAATGCGCGCGAAGCGCGCAAAATATTTGTGTGTTTTTAATTCTAATTTCGTCGGAATTGATGAAAACTCCTTAAAATGTGTAATTTATAGAGGAAATTGGCCTACCGTAACAAGAAATGCGCGCAAAGAATTTGAGAATTTAGGCACTTTCAGAGGATGCATTTGTCAAGGGGTGGGGAAAGATTTTCCAAAGATGGATATTTTCAACCTTGTCCCCGGTGTTTTTAATTCTAATTTCGTTGGAATTGATCAAAACTCCCTACAATGTGCAATTTTTAGAGGAAATTTGCCCATGTTAACAAGAAATGCGCGCGAAATTTGAGGTTTTTAGGCACTTTCAGGGGATGAAAAGTGCATTTATAAAGGGGTGGGGAAGATTTTCCAAAGATAGATATTTTCCCCTTGTCTTCCAGTGGTTACGCCATTGGGCAGCATAGATCAAAGGAGTTATAACAGTTTTTGAAGTGGAGAAGGGGTTGCAGAGTGTTGTGAGTCTGGTCATTGATATCTTCCTTTTTATTCTTGTCTTTATTTTTCTCTTCTCTTTTTCTTTTCCTTTCCTTTTCCTCTTCTTTCTCTTTCCCTCCCTCTCCCCTCTTTCTTTTTTCTTATTACCCAGCCCGGTACGA